TCCTGCTGCTTTAGTAATTCAGTCTATGACATTTTGTTATAGCAGCTCGAATGGACTAAGACAGCAGTCTATCCCCTGCTATTACACCTAGCCTCTGGCAACTACTGATCTGTTTTCTGTCCTATAGTTTTGCCTTTTCCAAAATGCTCAAATAAATGGAATAGCACTTACAGTCTTTTGATTCTAACTTTTTTCATTGAGTGCAATGTGTTTGCGATTCATCTATTTTGTTATGTGTAATTGTAGTTCACTGTTTTTATTTATTGCAGAGATTTTCCATGTGCTAGTCAGCCTGAAAAATGGCCCCCAGTAGGCTCACCTCTAGGCACTCACATCTCTCATCGAGTGGACTGAATCTTTGACTCCCAACAAACAGAATGTAGTGGAAGTACGGATGCACCCTCTAATAGTAGGCTGTGTAAAGACTGTGACTTTCATCATGGATGTTACTTCTGGCTTTCTTGTAGATTGCTTGTTCTAGGGGAAGCCAGTTGCCCTGTCGTGGGACCACCCTTATGGAGAAGATCACGTAAGTGAGCCTAGAAGTGGATCTTTCTGAGGCTTGCTGGTAGCCAGGTGAGTGACCTTGAAAAGAATAGCATGGCGGAAGGTTGAGCTGAGTTATAACTTTAAATCAGGCAGTCAACAAAAGCCACAGTGAGCAAACATAAAGTAAGGAATTCAGGAAGTTAGCTGATGGCAGGGGAGAGCATTTCAGGTAGGGGAACAGCAAAGGCCCTGAAATAGAAACATGTCTAAATTGCAAGACGGCCTGTGTGGCTTGAGTGGAGTAACTCTATGTATTACTAGATGTTTAAATGAAGAAAAGTTGAAATTACCATTAATTATAAAATGTTAATTCAAGAAAAGGGATACTTTGTACCAAAGGCACTCAGCTCAGCCACATCCAGATACTTGACCCACAGAAACTACGAAATAATAGCTGTGTGTCGTATTTAGCCTCTAAGTTCTGGGGAGTAATTTTCACACAAATAGATGACTAATATGAGCCAGTCACCAGTTGAAGGACACTTTATTTTCAGTTTTAGGTGATTATGAATAAAGGCACCATAAGCATGTGCATACAGATATTTGTGTGGATACTGTTTTCATTTCTTTTGGGTATAAATACGCAGGAGTGGGATTGGTGGATCACACAGAAAGTGTGTGTTGAACTTTATAGGAAACTGTTAGAACATCCATCTCCTTCTTCTGTTCAGTATAAGCCTCATTTTACACTGGTTCCCATAGACCAAATATTCCATAAATATCTCTGAAAAGTCAACTAATACTGAATACAGCTTTAATTCTTTAACTTAACCTATAATAAGTTGACAATATGCCCTACAGTGAAGTTTTACAGTTTATATTCTATTTTCCAGTTTTAAGCCTATTTTGTTTTTATGTTTTAAATCCATTCTCCCTAGAAAGTTGATACAACTTAAATCTTCTCTATTTTACTTCTGAGTTTAAAAAGTGCTTACCATTTGAGACGGAATTTCCATTTTCAGTAGTGATAGCACTAGAGAGTGAATTAGATAACTGGATTCCATGGTTATTTGCATTTCTATCTTGAGTCTCTGATGCAATTTCTGATGTTGCAGGATCATCTCGGCTAGTTAGGTTCATGTTAGTTTCAAAACCTAAAATAAATTTTAGAAAATATTATTCTTTTCTGATAAAATACACTGAATAAGTTGAAGAAAATACTGAAAGGAAATAATACAACTTATGAAATCAAACACTAATTACATTTAAAATGATAAATTGGTAATAATAATCAAATTTATGTCCTATAAGATATTTATCAAATCTCACCACAACATTGTCAAACATAATGGGAAATAGTAACTGGTCAAAATGCGTTTCATAATTTGTTTTTTTCAAACATATCTATAAAGAATTTTGATGTCATAGATCAAATAACTTGTCATTATAACACTTCCCATTAGAGAAGGCTATTTCCTAAAAGACATGTGGCAATAAGTTCATGTTTCAGAAGTTTTCTGAATTATTAAGTAGAGCTGAGGCAACCTTATAGCTTTGGGACAAAATAAGAAATATGTTTTCATCATTACTATAAATGTGTTATTATCCATTTAGGAATACTAAACTTCAAAGCCCCACTCCTGCATTCTATACACTAAGAATATTACCTAAATGTTTATTGCATGTCCCAAATTGAGCACTCGGAGAAATGCAAACACAGAAATCATTGTCCAAATTAGAGCGAAGAGCCAAATAAATCTATATTTTTTAAACTATGTGCTAATAATAAAGTAAAATATAACAAATGCTAGGGTTTGCAACAATGTCTGCTAGATTTTTCTATAATGACTGCGTTATCCTTAGTCAGGTTCTACAAGTGACAGTGTGCAAATCAAGCACAATTGTCATCATGGTGTCGGGTGTGGCCCTCTCCACCTCTCGCCTCCTCCACCTGAGTCACTCGTGTTCCCTCTCAGACTGGCCAAGTGTACCTGGGATTGGCTCTTGTTTTCCCAGGGACCTCAAAAATGCTCCAACCTACTGGGAGATTTCTGCTTAACATCAGGGATATACATGCTGCTTCTGCTCTTGTCTCTTGGTACACAATAGATTCTGGCTGTCTTTAGTTAGGTCTTTCTGAAGTTTTAGGCTAATAAATTATTCAAAAGGAATAATAAGCATAATTATTATACTCTATAAGTGGCAGAACAGTTTATCCCCTGTGATCCCAATATCCAGGATCTCAACAGGCAGAGAGGTTATCCTTGTTTTGCTGAAAAGGGAATTAAGATCACCCAGGGTCAAGTAGCTGGGAAGAGGTGAAACAGAACTTTAACCTTTGTATTCTGATTATTGTTCAGTTTTTTGTTTTTCACTAAAAGACAAATTATACTATGTCATTTCCATGCTTTAAAATCTTAAATGAATTGTGTGCCTAAATTCTAAGGTAGGAAGGAAGGATCATTGGGAGGAAATGAGGGAGGGAGGAAGAATGAAGCAGGTCAGCCAGCCCTCTAGAACTAGTCTCCCAAGGCCGGGATTCACTTGATCCTTCTGAATACTTCCTCCTGGACATTCTTTCCTCTTGTCCTTGACACTTACATTTAAATTACACTACAGGCCACGGACATTTCCCTAGATGCTCCATATTGACTCTTGTTTCAGTGCTTCGGTCTATACATTCTATCTATTTATCTCGAATGTGCTCTCCACTTGTCGACCCTGCTTCATCCTACCCACCAATGAGGGTCTTGTTCAGATGACCTGTAATGCAATGACCACACATTTACAAGTAAAGCACAGAATGCAGCACAGAGAGGAGCCTGGTCTTCCCAGGTAGAGTGATGGCCTAAGGTTTAGAGTAGGAAATGCTGGGTAAACAGACTGAAGGCAAAATGAGCAGGGCTTTAAAAACCAGGAAGAAAAGTTTATATTTAAATGATCCCGTGAGTCACTGTAGCTCCTGACTTTTTGCACTTAAAAAACAAGTGAAAAGGCTTTGGTCAAGCCAGCCTGTGTAAGAATATCATGTCAGGTGATCTAAACCATCTTAGTTCCCGACAATGAGAAATTATCAATGACAATGAGAGAATATCTGTACAGTTTGGTCAACTCCTTTTTGCCTTTTTAAAAAAATCTTTGGAAAGTTAGTAAATCAGGTTTGGTTTTTAAGCTGTCTCACAACAGACATTCACCTACTTTTATTCCTCTTTAAGCTCTTTTTTTTTAATTCTTAAATTCAGTTGTTTATTGAGCACCTACTATGTGCCCAACACCCTCCAGGTGCTAGAGACAAAATAAAGAAAACCACAGACAAGCAGCTGGGAATTTAGTGCCCAGTTTGACAACAGACAAATAAGCAAATAAACAGATAATTAAAAGTGGTAGACTCCCAGCTGGGTAGAAAAAAATTAATGAGCAGTGAGGGTAGGCAGCCAAAGTTTTCAGGCAACAGTGGGTTCAAAGAAACATCTCTAGGAGGTCACATTTAGGCTCAGAGAAAAAGGAAGGAAAGAAGTAGCTGTGTAGAAAGACAATCTCCCCACATGTGCGAAGACCCCAAACAAAAAACCAGGTAGTAGGATCCCAAAGAGCTGGGTGCAGGGAAGCAAAGGACCTGTGGGAGAGGGGTCGAGATATCACTCAGGGTGGGGAGGCCGCCACAGGCAGGAATTGAAGTTTTGTTCTCACTGCAATGGGAGGTTACAACTAAAGGGTGTGAAGCAGGGAGAACCTCCCTGGGTAAATAAGGGCAGTTCTCTTATGTCTGGTGGTGCAAGGCTCAATTCTCTGAGACGCTGTCGAGACTCCTGGTATGAATATTTGATGCCGGTTTTCCTCATAACTGATTTCTATCTCATAAATAGTTGATATTTAAATACAATTTAAAATATAGTAAAAACTTCCTTTTCTGCTATTAACGTTAAAAAAAAAAAGTTTTCATACTTCTAATCATCGGGTGAAATTGTAGCCAAGAAATGTTTCTAAATTTGTCACAATAAGCTATGATCTTTACATTATCTACTGAAATTTTCTCTATATTTTTATATTAAAAGTATATGTCTGCTCAAGAATGACTCTGGGTTGGAATAAGGGAATAAGTCCCTCTTAAAGTAAAGACATAATAATTAATGGTCAACCTAATGCTTATTAGTCACATTGCTTTTACAATAATTACCGGCTCCTGAGTGTTTATTACGTGCTAATCCCCTGCTAGATGTGATACTTGATTTAGCTCTTGTTTTCCTAACAATTCTGAAGAGTTGTCACTATCACACCTATTTTCAAGATGAGGTCATTGAGGCTTGGGGAGGTTAATCTATGTGCAACATTTCACAATTAGTGTTGCTGATGGATTCAGACTACAGCACAGCAGGGCTCCACCACCCACCCACACTCATTCCTGTGCTTGGTCCCTTATGTAAAATCTTCCCTCCTTATTTCATTTGTTGATGTAAAAGGTAAGGCAGCTTCTTTACTGTGGCTTTATCACCCATGCCTCAATGGTAATGAAATGGGAAATGCAGGTTTAAAACTTGTACACTAACCACTGAAATAGGGTTGCAAAATTAATATAGGTGTCCCCACTTTGCAGTTATCCTTATTCATTAATATTAACTGGGGGGTTCCTGGCTTACTAAATTCTGTGTCAGCCTCTGCTCATAAACACCCTTACTCCAAGTTAAATCCAAACACGTAAAAGTGTCTGTGCCCCAACTTTTTAATTTCTTGATTCAGTCACAATGAGGGTCAAACACAGAAACTCTCAATAATCTGGTTTTGTTTTAAAGTGTCAGTTTAGCACAATGCTCCTTGTCAAAATTATGCCCATTACTCTGTATTTAAGCACTGAGGGAATGAAAACGATGACAAATCCAGAGGAGGCTGGCATTAACTATGAAGAAGCCTTATTATAAAAGTGCATTGACAAGATGCATACTTTATGAAGACTTTTCAAAGGAATAATACAGAGAAAACAAAGTTATCAAGTTTGTTTATGCTTCCAAGCAGTGGCCATCAGAGTTTTGAAGGTAAAGAAAAGTTGGTCGTACCAAAGGGAAATATTTGAGATTCTCAAGGAGTTTAAGCAAAATAGCAGAGGAGTAAGAACTGTAGAATACTATATAACAATTTAAGTAAGGTACAAGTGGGTCATTTTTTATCTCTACATCCAGGAAGATCGGTAATTTGTGTAGTTTAGTGGCATCCTTTGGTCAGGTACATCATAATACTGGTTGATTCAAATTCCTGTGGTGGTTTCTTATAGCCTATAAACAGGATTTCTCCATCACCCCTGTCTGGTGTTGTTTTCACAGGTATGGGAGAAATGAATCACACTGGGATCTGACTCAAAGTCTTGGTCTGTACATTAGGATGTGATTATTAAATACAAGTATGCAGTGCAGACACATTTAAGTTGAACTGCAATCCAATGAGAGAGTTCTAGCAAAACTCTAAATTAGAATATACAAAAAACAATGAGTTGTCCTTGTGTTAGTTTTTATATAACTAAAATATCATACTGGGTGGGTATGATCCTTTGAAACTGTGGTTTTCAATAGGAAGAGATATTGCCACCCCCCAACCTCCTTTCCCCTAGGAACATTTGGCAATGTATAGAGGTGTTTCTGCTTGTTACACCGGGGGAGGGAGATGCTACTGGCATTGAGTAGGTACACAGCAGGTATGCTACAAAATCCCCATGATGAAGAATTATCTGGCCCAGAATGTCAATAGTGCTGAGGCTGAGAAAGCCTATCATAAAACCGAAGGGAGATTGCTCCATTCCCCTACTCAAGTCTCTCCACTGGTTTCTTATTTTCTTCAGATTAAGACCTAAGGGTTTCCTGAGGCTAAGAGACCCTTCAATGCCCGAACTAACTCCTTGCCACATGCATCCCTGTGCTCCTCACTTAGCCTCTCATTCTCTCGGATGGAGCATGGGGGCTCTGATCAAACCTTCCCTGAGCACAAGGACTCGCCAGACAACCTTCTAGAAAAAAGCACACCCCTCCCTGCCCCAGGTCAGTTTCTGTCCCTACTTCCTGCTTTCGATTTTGTACAGAGTCCTTCTCACCGCATGACACATTACATTTCAATTGTTTGTTTTGTGTTTCCTCCCTCTGGAATGTTGGCATTATGAGCTCAAATGCAA